TGTGGGTAAGCATCTCTCAGGAGGGCATGCCCACAGAAAATACCCTTTCCCTGTAATCAGCTGCCCTGCTACACTTCTTTTCATGTGAGTATGCAGAGAATGCTATGCGAAGAAGCATTTGGGGAGATCCTTGTGGAAACAGGTAGTACCTTAGTGGAGAACCTGTACCCCTCCAGATGATGTTGGACTCCAACTTTCCTCAGCCACAGGGGAGCTTGTCGCAGCTGGAGGGGGAGACAACCATGACTCTTCACCAGTTGCGCTCATCTCTGCCTCTTAGCCTCTCTCCTCCCACCCTCCTGTTTCAGCTTCTGTCTCTGATTCTGGACTTCTTTCTGCCACGGACTCTCCCAGCTTACTAAGCCCTGTTACCTCTTCAGCTTCTGACACCTCCTCTCCCCAGTGTTTTCCCTCTTCTCCCTCTGACCACTCACTGTTGTCCTGAGCTGGTTCCTCCCACCATTCCTCTGCGTCCAACCAGTCCATTACACCCATTGACCTTCAACCCTGCGATCTACAGGCTAACACTAAGCATTGTGGCCAGGGTCTCTGTGTCTATCACAAATAGCAAGAGAGGTGTGCCTAAGGTTTAACACTAGGTTTCAGTTAACGCAGCTAATATAATCTGTCAAGCTCTAAGAGGAACATCCTTCTCTGAAATGCTTAAGGGTAAATGGAAAACATAAAATTCAGATGAGTAAATGTGTTGTGCTCTTTAGCTTCAGAAAAGATTGGATAACAGCCCAGAAACCAGTATGTAGAAGACTTCCTGTATATCTAAACATTAGGACCTACATCTTATCTTTGTAGCTTTTGTTTCCCATGTTATTGCCCCAATCTCAGAGTGAATATTTAGCAACAAGCTTGTGACCAATTTAATCTATGCTAGTTGGGATTGATGTTTTCAAGTCTGAGCCTGTATCCTTAACACTAACAACAGTGTTGTTATTAACATCATAAGGGCAAGGAACATATTGTAAAAGCATTAAATTTGTCTTAATGTGTGGTATCACAGAACCTGAGATATTGTCCAGGATAATGAAATTTGCAATTTAAATTATGGGAGAGTAGCTAAAAAAGGAATGAAACAAGTCAAATCAGAATCCCATTTATAATCTACTGTCATGTGACTCCAGGAACAACAATAGTTTTCCTGCTGAGTTTTTCTTTCTTCAACTGTCCTAGTCTTAAATATATATTCTCTTGTTGTTAAATATATATTCTCTTGTTGTTATTTTATTAAGTGTAAACTCAACGAGTCTTCTATTTAATTGCTTACCTGGTTGTCATTGGAGACCTGCAAGGAATTTCCTTGGGGCAAGTGATCAGCTGATAAAACAAGAGAGTGCTCAACTTCTCCTTTTCCTCTCTGGATCTCCATCTGTACTGAAAGCTCATTTCCTCCATAGTCAGGAAGGAAATGCAGCGGACGTCTTCCTCAGATCACTGTGCTGGTGGCCAGCTGTCAAGTAGGGTTGCCATATTTCAAAAAGTGAAAATCTGGACACAAAAGTTTGCCCAAAGTTGTTGATATATTTTTTAAGGAAATTCGCCAAAATCTAGACTTCCTACATGGGTTGTCATAAAGCCGGATTTTCCCGGACATTTAAGCAATTTCCACACAGACACTGTTTCCAACTGCAGTATTCTGACTATGTCCGGGAAATTCTGGGGTGTATGGCAACCCTATGTCAAGGGACCAGCTCCCAATAGCCTTGGAGCTAGCCTTCTTGCTGGGATAGCAGTAGCCAAATGAACAGAATTGAAAACCAACCCTAGAAGGTAGTATCACTGCCACCGCTTCTTAGTACAACAGCCTGGGCCAGGAGACTCCCAGAACCTCTACACCCACCGGCCGCTCACCCACAGCTCACCCGCATCAATGTGCCTGCCCTTCTGGGGGTAGAAGGAGGTTAGAGATGAATGGGCAACAGTGGACAGGTGGCAGGTGGGCCATAGGCATGCAGCAAAAGAAGGGGGGAAAGGAGGTGAGCAGCATGCTCCTTGGAGGTCAGATCTGCTGCCCCCTAGCTGTCCAGAACCTGCCATCCTGAGGCAACTGCCTCACCTTGCCACATTGAGTATATGAGCTTGACAAGCAAAGCATGGCCCCACCAGTTTGTTTGTCATCCAGATCTACATGCCAAGCCTAAAGGGAACCTTATGGTTGCTCAAAGCCATCTAGCAAATAATGCCACATATATCTACCCTGCCAGATATTTTTTTTTAAATCCCAAAGAGACACACCAAAAGTAGATGAGACAGCTTTTTAAATAAGATTACGGCTGATACATAGGACCTGTCATTTGCATCATATAAATGAAAACATATTTTCCATAAAAATCATTATCTTTCAGATTAGATATGTACAATTTAGATCTAGTTAAAATGTAATTCACAGATTCTTATATCAGAGGTAAATGTAGTGTAACTCTCCTAGCAAGTGTACTCAAGTGAGAACAGTGGTGTCCAGAACCAAGGGAGTGGATTGTGGGTTGAAGAAAGCCCATTTGCCCTCCCAGGCAGGCAGTTTTGTGGACAGGCCCTGAGCCACTCTAGTGAACCGGTGAATGGCAGGCTGGATCATCCACCTGCCACGCATTTGACCTATGGTGGCAGAAGGTCTTGGGTGTTCCCCTGGGTGCAGGACCAAGTGACCAATAGGGGCACTGAGACCTAGGACAGGATAAATTGCAGCCTGCCAGAGCAATTGGCCTCTTCCTTTCGGTGGATGGAGGGGATTGTGAGTTGAAAAAACTGCCCCCTTAACATGCAACCTGGAGAAAAACCTGAGGATCATAAAGTCTACCTGCTAATTAAAATGAGATGAGGATAACAAGTTAATGTCGTAGTATTTAAAACCAAGGACTTAATGTTCTTTGGAAGCATCATTACTCAGATGCAAGCCCCACTGAACCCAACAAGTTGGAACAAGTGCAGTCTGAAGGCCTGATCTGCTCCACCAAGCTTTAGCTGGTGGCCCATGAGCCATAAACTCAATATTTTGGAGGTGGTAGTGATACTACAGGGAGAATAGGGTGCAGACCTAGGCAGGACTTGTCTGACTTTCACTCATTCTCATTATGCTAGGCTGGCTGAAGAGATTTAATCTTCTCTTCATAGCCTGTGGCTGTAATGGGAATGAAAATCCCCACAGCATGGAAAGAACATTGCCTCCTCCTTAAGTGACCTACATGCATCAGCTGCGTGGCGGGTTATGTGTATGTCCTATATGTATGCGTATGAAGGAGTTTTGTACGTGTCCCTAAATGTGTGTGTGTGTCTCAGACCCTCCATATGTCCCTATTTTCCAGGGACATCCCTGATTTAGAGAAGCCATCCCGGTTTCTGATTTGATGGAGTGCCATCGCAGCTGCCCTCCCCGCCCGCGCTGGGCGCCACACCCCCACAGGTGGCACACCATGACCCCGGGATGCACACCAGGCACTCCCCCGCCTGCTCTCCGCCCCCTGGTGCCAGAGCATGACCTCCGCCACTGGGCTTCAGGCCCAGTTTTGGTACAGAAACTGCTTTGGTGCCCTGTATGATGACCTTTGCCAAGAGAGAGAGAAGGGAAATGTGTCCTTGTTAATTCTCATCAATGTTCTCTGTGGTTTTCAGGACAGTGGTATCATTCTGGAGCGGCTGTCTGACTTAGGGGTGAGTGGCACAGCTTTGTGGTGTTCCCAGTCCTATTTGGTTGGTTGTTTCCAGAGGGTGATGCTTGGGAAATGCTATTCTGCCCCATGGAGTCTTCACTGTGATTTTCCTCAGGGTTGAGTCTTACCCCCCCATGCTGTTTAACATCTACATGAAACCACTGAGTGGGGTTATCCAGAGGTTTGGACTATGTTGTCAGCAATGACACACAGCACAGGTGTGGCAGTGGATGATTGTCTTGCCTCAGTAATGGATTGGATGAGAGCCAACAAACTGATGCTCAATTCAGATAATGTAGAGGTGGGTGGTTTCTAGAACAGATGGATGGGAGGTGGCCCCATATCACTCCAGTGAGTGAAAAAGCTACGTGCTCTCTGAGGGAACACATACTTAGCTCTTTTCACTCACTGGAGCAATATGTGGCTAGGGATAAGGGTTTTTTTTATTCTCTCAGTTTCTCATTTGGTGCTTATTAAATCCAGTTATCCACATTTCTGCAGCAACTTGCATTAAAAAAAAATCCTAATAAAAATTCATGTGGAATTTAATGTGAATTACTCTTAATACAATTTTATACACAATTTTAACTAACATACAATTGTTTGCAAACAGGTTTCCCCAATATAATACAATTTTCTGTGTTATTTTCATTTTCATGCACACTTTCCCCTAATATATCTATTTTCATAAACAATGGTTGGAGAACTGAATTGCATGATTTGAAAAATTGCAGGTATCAAAGGATGACCGTGTTTCAATTCTCATAATGTTTCGCAACGGGAAGATTTGGCTTCAAACACAAACTTTAAATTTCTCGCCCGTCCCTCCCTGTGGCATAATTGTTGTGATTATATCTCCATGTTCTCTTCTCTTAATGCTGTTGCTTGGAAAAGGAAGCAATATTACTCTGGAAGTGATCTGTGATGGTGGCTGGCAAATATCAAACTTCTGTTGGGGTGAAGCTATGTCTCTTGCACAATTCAGAGCACCCAAAGATAAATGGCTTCTATGTATGTGGCTGTATTTATTAAAGCGACGATTATTCACATGCTCGTTCTCCCAGTTCTGAGGTCTAGTAGGTGTGAAGGATGCACAGGCATGACGGAAAGGTGACTCTTGCAGAATTGTGGGGAAAGGAAGCCAAGGGGAGGAGCAGGAGAAAGGCAGCTGTTTTGAAAGAGAATGCCTGAAGTAACAGAATGTCCTGGGTGGTGGGTTGGATTGCTGCAACAGGTGTGTGTATCTATATAAACCTGTCTGAAACATGAAACAGGTGGCTCCAACCCGGATAAAGAGTACTGTAACTAGCTGGAGAAGCTGGTGCTGCACTGTCAGTCAGAATGCCTCCACAGTCAGGCACTGTTCTAGGAGGAAAGGAACCTTGCTTAGATGCTCCACAGCTTTTCACCTGGGAGGAGATAGGACTCCGATCGGGCAAAGGGAACTCCAAGGAAGAGAGGTGGCTGGTCATCAACCGGAAAGTCTACGATGTCAGCAAGTTCTATTGGCGGCACCCTGGAGGAAGGCGCGTCATCAGCCACTATTCCGGACAAGATGCCACGGTGAGACCTTATTGCGGGGCAGAGAGCAGTGGAGAAGGACCATCACCCAGTGGCAGAGCACATGTCTTGAATCAGGAGTAGAGAAACTCCAGCCCATAGACCTGCTAGGGGATCCCATTTGGTCCATGAGGTCATGGCAGTCTAACATCACTGGCTTGCATCAGCTGATGGGGATGGGGCTCAATCCTACTGGGTCCATCTTTGCCAGCATGTTCCCTGCAAGAAACACACTGGCAAAGCAGACCCTTGTAGAGAGGAGGGTTGCACCCTCTGCTCAACAGCTGGAGAGGGGAGAGTTCAATGCAGGGAATGCATTGGCAAAGCATATCCATCCCTGCAGCCCTCTGAGATCACCCACCTCTCAGACACCTGATGTCATCAGGTCATCGGAAGATTGATAGATGGGTGGTCCCATCCATCTGCTGAAGTTGGCAAGAAGGGTGGAGAGAGATAAATATCTTTTTTTTTTTCCTGTCAAAAAGGCACACCCACCCCTGCCTTACTTGGACCACATCCCAGATTTGACTCCTAGCATCTCCAAGGATCTCAGGTAGCAGACCTGGAAAAGACTTGTGGCTGACATCCTGGAGGACACAGCACCGTAGGCATTCAGGGCTAGAGGGACCAAGGTTCTTCATATGCTCATGAAGTTTCCTTGGCAATTTTCTGTTATTGTAGGAAACAAGAGTTAGAAGTAGGGTCTGAAGGCACAGAAAAGCCCACCCCATAATAGCTTGCTGGAGGAGGAAGCTAAATTCTGGCTGGCATGGGTGACTAAAGCTAGTCTGCAGTTCCTTCTCAAGATAATTGGTTATAATTCTTTCTACTTATCATTGCCTGACTTCCAGGTGGTTTAAAGAAGCCCAGGTGTGTGAAAGATTCATATGGACTCAAAACCAGAGTTATCATACCTGTGAGAAACTATGACTGAGGATGTCTCCTCAGCCAAAATATTTGAGTAATGTTGGGGTAGGAAGCTAAGAGAACTGATGTAGCATTGCTGATATTTGTTGGGATTGTAGTTTTTGCTATTCTCGTTGAGTTTAACCCTGGTAAGTACACTTAGAATTACAGCCACAATTTTATATTTCACTACAGAATGTCTTAGCTTTGCAGATTAAATTGGCAAAGTGTGAAATATACTAATCTGTTGTACACCTGAAATTAAAATTTAGAAAACACCACCTGAGATTAAGAATAGTGTAAGTAAAGGATGTTGTGTTTGGGATTGTCTTGACTGAACATGAGCCGGATATTGACCCTGGTGATTTAGAGTTTTCTCATTTTGCCTTGGGCACACTTTCTAGCACACTTCTTGCATGTCAAAGTAAACTAAAGGTATTTTATTTTTACATATATATTTTCTGTTCCTAACCAAATGAACATTCTGGCACCCACAAAAACAGGTTTATTCAAATTACATGTAACTGAAGTTGGTGTTAATTGACATGGTGCAATCCTAGAGCCTGTGGCTCTCCAAATGTTGCTGGGATGTAACTCCTATTCTCCCTGATGACTGGTCATGCTGGCTGAGACGGATGAGAGTTAAAGTCCACCTAAATCTGAAAAGCTGCTGATTCCCTGATGTCTACTCAGAAGTAAGCCTCGCTGATTTCAGAGGGACTCACTCCTGGGTAAAGGGTGTACAGCGTTGCAGCTTAATTTGCATAAAACCTGGTGCAATTTTTGTCTGATAATTCTCATCTGCCTTGTGAGGAAATTCCCATGTCAAAGAAATAGAGATGGAGAAATACCATGGTGCACAAAGAAAGAAAAGAAGACGCTGCAATGCAGTGTTCCAGTTGAAGCTGCAATCCAGTGTTCCAGTTGGGTTCTTTGAGAAATTCACATGCCTCTGACCTCCCCCCACACCACCCCCGTTTTAGTCCAATCATGCCCCCCCATAGTCTTTTAAATGCAGCAACTAAAGGGGCTCTGACCCAGCATGTAATTTGAGCATCACCTCACGGGAAAAGTCCAGACTTCTGACATGGGTTGCCATACATCTGGATTTTCCCGGACGTTTAAGCAAGTTACAGAAAGGGTTTAACTAATAACGCAGACGCTCACATTCATGCACAGCCACCCTCACAGGGACCCAGAAAGTTGTGGTGGAGTTACACTGCCTAAAGGCGTCTTCTTTGAAGCGAGTAGCCAGACCAACTTTCCCCCTACTAAGTCCCTGGCCACCTGTTTAATACCCACAGGGTAATACGAACAGGAATGAAACATTGGCTAAGAGTCGCAAACATCAGCTGCGTTCTCACATGCCTATCGCTGCTTCAGATCTCAGAAGTAGTTGCAGCAGGTGCCAGTGAGTTATTCAGTGCCAAGGAGACTGAGGCAGGCAGCCCAACTCAAGTTATAGATTTAAGGACTACTATTAAAAGGCTGGAACGTGTCAGTTATTTAGTTTGCCGTAATATTTCTACCAACATTAGGGTGTGTGGGCAGGAGAAGGTGTCAATTGGTTTCTCTACCTCAGGCAGAAAACATGCACTGGATTCCTTCTGGGCGGGGTGGGGGGGAGGAATATATCAGTTCTCTCGGTTCTCTTCCAATCTTCCAATCGATTCTCCACATTTCTACAGGAATTTACAATTATTCTTTTTAAAATCCTCATAAAATTCTTCAGTGGTTTTGACCAGTGCCATTTTTCTAGAAAAAGGTGCTGGAACTCAACATGAACTGCTCTCTTGTTCTCTTAAAATGGCAATGGCGCCCACCTGGGAGGTGCTGGAACTGAATTCCAGTGAATTCTGGCTGAGAAAAATCCCTGGCATTGACTAATGTACACATGGTTGTGATGCATTTGTGTATTATTATTATTATTATTATTATTATTATTATTATTATTATTATTATTACTATTATTATTCCCCACCCATTTGGCTGGGTTTCTCCAGGATCTCTGGGCCGCTTACAGCACATATAAAGACATAGTAAAATGTCATTTTACTATTCATGCTATTTTCATGAACATATTTATTTGTATGCACACCTTAACCCAATATATGTATTTTTGTAAATGTTGTTTGCTTAAAGAATGGCATCGCAATATTCAGATACGTGTGAATTTCAAAGGACGGCTACATTTTGTTTATCGTATTATTTTGGAAACTGTGAATTTATAGGTTTGAATTTAAATGCGAGCTGAATTTAACCCAGTCAGATGAGTGGGGTACACAAAATATTATTACATATTGACTTCCTCCCCCATCCTTGCTTCTGGGCTTACAACATGGACACGTGGCTGATGCCCACAAGTTAGAATATCCCTCAGTACGACATGTTCTCACCATGCCCATGAAATCTCCTCATCTGATATGCTTTCACACCATGTTTGTACCTCCTACTGGAATGGACTGGCTTAGGCCACAAGGGCCGTTTAAAGATTCCTGGGACTCCATCGTGTTCTTACATGATTGTCTTTCAGTGTCACAAACCACAGATGCTCTTGGATTCAGATGCCAGCGAAATAATTAAGGCTCCACCTACCATTAGGCAAGTGGGGCAGCGCGCCTCAGGTAGTAGGATGGAGGGTACTTTTAAAAGCCTATAAATTACCATTTATATTAAGATTGCTGCAATATGCTTATCAACACTGGGTGGGTGAAGGAGGAGATGTCACTGGGCTTTCTACCTCAGGCAGAGAAATGTCCTGGGCCATATCCAGGCTTACAGATTTTATCGCTTCTGAGAACATGAACAAGAGGCTGATGCATAATTATGACATCTGGTCATGCTAGATGTTTCTTAGTCTGATATGTCTTAAGCTGGAATGAATTGATTTATGGGCCCCTCCAGACTGTTTTGTTGTTGTTTGTGGGTATATTCTTCAACATGTCCTTGATGCAATAATAGTGCATTAGTAGTGAATTTACACTGGACTGTCCACACGCCATGCCACTTGGTTAGTTGTTCTCCAGTGCTTCACCAGTGTTACTGTATTACTGCCATCTGGAGGGATGTGCTTACCCTATAGTGCACCACCAAAAGAGGGAGAAAAGAATAAACCCAGAACATCAGTAGCATAAAAAGTTCCAGGATTACAGCAGGTGGTTAAAGGGTATGTGTTGATTGGAAATGAAACAGGCTATCTGCCCCCAAAAACATTTGCAGGCACAAACAGTATTGAAAGCAGGACTGTGTAAAAGTGCCCCAATATCATCGTGAATACAAATCATCACGAAGTGACATCTGGAGGGGTCGTCAGGCTGGAATGTACTGTTTTAATGGCACAACGTAACATAGGAGAAGGTATTCCTGGCACCACTTTTGAGTGCAAGCAGCTATAATGGAATCACGGCACCATCTGATGTGCCACGTAAGCACAACACTGGAAAAGTTTTCTGACTGGTGATGCATGCTGTGTTGGGTTGTTTGACTATTACTTCTAAACATATTTATATACCACTATGTGATTTTTTTAAAAAAATCAAAGCAGTTTCCAGCAACGAAAAATGAAACCACACAGTAAAAACCATAAAAAGTTAAACATCCATCAACCATTGCGAAAGGATTTGTTTTGAATTGTCCGCATAGACCTGGCAGAGTAGAAAAGGTTTGAGCAAGTTTTTAAAAGTTGGCACAGAATACACATTGCTGTATCTATTGGCAGAGTACTCCACAAGAATGGGCCAATGGAAGCAAGAAGCATGTGTAGTTGGAGAACCCATGTTTACATCACTGCTGCTGTACTCTGTCACCCCAAATCAGAAATCGGCCTTTTAATCAATGCGGGTGGGAAAGATACTGATGTGCACTGACTCATGTTGACAACGGGACAGTGCTCAGAACGCCTCTGCATTTGACTTCACCCACCAAAACTATAACTAACATAGGGTTTGCCATTTAGGGCATTGCTGAGTGCTTTGAGGTTTTGAGGTTTTTTCTACAATCAAGCAGTATATACATTTTATGAAGAAAATAATAACTAAGTATGTTCTTCCTTCAATGATTTTTCAAGTGCCTTCTGTCTTTAGCTGTGATTTTCACGTCTCCTCCTCTAAGGGAATAAGAAAACACGGAAAGACTTCTTGCCTGTCCACCTGTTGAACTTTTGGTAATATATGTAGCTGGAAAGGTGTTTGATGAAACTGAAATGTGACGTGAGAAAGGAATTGGGTACAATAAGATGTGATTCATTTTAAAGTGAGTTCATTCTGAAGTTTGGAAGCTCCTTTGAGAAATTGTGTAAACTCTGTAGGCGTCTACAGAAGCCTTCTGTGGGTGGAAGATTTCTTGCTGGTTATGAAACTCACAGTCATAAGCAAAGAGTCGCTGCCTGAAGGCCTTTGGACTCAGCTGGACTGTTACATTAAAAGTTATTTGTATGCGTTGTATATGTGATATTGCCACCAGATAGTGGCCTGGAGTCCTGTTTTTCTCTAACTGTTTCTCCTGTTCAAACTGAAATGCTTCTTTGATGTGTCTAGATCCAGCCTCTGTACACACACACATCCTCAACCCTCAGCATTGCTTCTTGTGCTCAGCCCATTTGGCTTCTGAGAGCTCACCAGGCACACATGTTTCTGAGCTCTTTTCACCCACAAGGTCAAGGCACTTGCTTTGTTTATTTTGAATGACCACTGAGATTCTATTGATGCTGAATTCTGAATGCAATTAATTAGGGTAGTCTCTTTACAGGGCTAATTCAAATGTAATGCTAAACAAAGGCTTGACCTTCCTTAGGCTGATGTGCTCCCTCTTTCTCTCCTTGTATACTTCAGTTCTCTTCCATAGTTTCCTGTTACATCTGAATGAGCAAACTTTGGTTGCAAATTGTTGCTCCAGAGGACTACTGCAAACCATTGTTTGTGGTTTGGATTCTATGGTAAACTATAGTTTACCTGAACCAAAAATCAAAGAGGCCCATGGAAAATTAAAAAAAAGGAGAGTGTGCTTTCCTGAAGATCAGACCAAATGACATCATAATGGGTGATCATTACTATCAGTCTTGGACCTCTAGTTTCTGTTAACTCATTTAACAGGAACTGTATGCTGGTCTTGATTTGTGAATCCCTGGCTTCACAAGTACTTACAGCAAAACGTGAAACTTACTTATCAGAAATAAAATATAGCTGTTCATTTGTTGTTGTTGTTGTTGTTGCTGCTGCTGCTGCTGTTGCTGTTGCTGTTGTTGTTGTTGTATATGTATTTATACTCCACCTTTCCTTGAGGGAACTCAAGGCAGCTTAAAGAAAAAAATAAGAACCGCTAAAAGCATAGAAAAAACAATAATTAAAAAACCATAAAACATTGATAAAATTAAAACTATATACATATATAAAATCTATTAAAACCATACCAATAATTACAATATAAATAGCACAGCTCCAGCCCTTTCATTAAAAGCATGTCATTTCATCATAGGATTCAGTGAAGAATATCCTGCCAGATAGTCCTTTCTAGAATGCCCAAAAATAAAAATAAAAATGGAATGATCAACCCAGAATGAGCTTAGTGATCACTTACTGTCAAAAAGTTCTTCCTGGTGTTTGGTCGGAAGATCTTTCCTTGTAACTTTAATCCATTGGTTCAGGTCCTGCCATCTGGAGCTGGAGAATACAAGCTTGCTCCATCCTCCATCCTCCATGTGACAACCCAGCTCCTTCAACCTTGCCTCATAAGGCCCTTGATCATCTTGGTTGCTCTCCTCTGCTCACATTCCAGCTTGTCAATATCATCCTCAAATTCTGGTGCCCAGAGCTAGACACAGTACTGCAGGTGGGGTCTCACCAAGGCAAAACAGAACAGTACTATTACTTCCCTTGATTGGGACACTATACTTCTCTTCATACAGCTTAGAATAGCATCAGCTCTTTCTTCTTCTTCTTCTTCTTCTTCTTCTTCTTCTTCTTCTTCTTCTTCCTGCATAACTTTGTTGACTCATGTTAAGTTTGTGGTGTACTAAGACCCCTACATCCTTTTTGTTTGTGTGTGTGTGTGTTTAGGATGCCTTCACCGCTTTCCACAAGGATGAGGACCTAGTAAAGAAATACCTGAGCTCACTGCTAATTGGGGAGCTGGCACCTGATCAACCAAGCTGTGAACCGACCAAAAAAGTAAGTTTTCCATGTGGTGTGCATGGCAAAAGGCACTGGACTAAAATGCTTTACATGTTCTAATTGAGCAAAAGCACATTGTAGATACCAAAGAACTTAGCTGCAGGATTTCCCTTTGGTGGCTTAGGCCCCATGGATCCCTAAGGGTACACTTTTCATGATGCTTTAGAACCTCAATATTGCTCCTCACCCCCTGTCCTCATGGTAGAGACGTGAAGGAGAATGGCTTTGCACACAGCCACCGTGGAAGAGACAACCATAAACTTGTGCAGCTGGGTAGGTGGTGGTGGGATCTGGTTGGATATTTAAATCTCTCTGCCTTGATCCTTCACTAAGCACCTGCCCCATTCTTCACTGGTCACCAGTAAAGTTGTGTTTATGGCCTTGCCCATAAACCTCAATGAGTTGAAGGGTGAAGTCTAAAATGGGGAGATTTCCTACACAATTTAGAACCCTGCAAAATTGAGGGTCTAGATCATGTGAGGAGCAAGGGCATTCCACACTTTGGATTTCATCCTCATGAAAGGAGATGAGGATAGCAAAGCAGAGTTGGAGCCTAGTGAGCTTGCCCTGCTTCCTTGTAGGATTTACATGCAACTAGCATGCCAAGTGCACTTCCCCTGCATGCGAAGACAGGCTCTGGCAGATGGAACGGACAAGTGGCTCTAATGGTCAAGAAGGCAGAGAAGGGAAATTCTGGCCCTAAACCTCTGCTGCCTTGCGGGATATATTTGTTAGAAGGAAAGGCTAAGGAGTAAATCCTAAACAGATCCAGAATGGAGTCCCTAAGATAGTTGGATGGTGTCTTAGATGCCTCATTCTGGCAACTCCAGCAACCAAGCTGGTGCCAAGTGTGTTGTTCTGCTTTCCTTTGGACCACATCAGTGAGGCTGAGAAGTCAGGGTCTTGACATCTGGGCATTCCATTGTCTTTCAAGATAGACAGATTCCAACAACAGCACAGGAGGCATCTGGGTACAAAAACCTCAACTCTTACAGAAAACCCACTCATTACACTCCTTGAAGTTACTGTGGAGAGACAGAGCAGAGAGTGGTTTTCCACTGCCTCTGGTTAGACAATGCCCTGAAATCATCATGCCCCTCTTATCTTAGAGTCCTGTCTCATCCTGCCCCCTGTTGAAGGAGAGCTGACCAGCTGGCTTGGCCTCTCTGTTACCATCGTGATCTGTCTAGAGAAAGCGTAGTAATGCTACAGTTTGAATCAGATGCATGTACTTTGTGAAGGGGGAACTTAACCATGGTCATTTCTCACAGGATATGCTGATACAAGATTTTCGTGAGCTGCACAGCACAGTGAAGAGATCTGGACTCCTGAAGGCCAGTTATCCCTTCTTCGCCTTCATGTTCCTGCATGCTTTCCTGATAGACATTGCATCCTGGCTCGTCATCTGGTACTTTGGAAAAACCTGGACCCCTTTCCTCATTGGTGTAGCATTGTTCACCATTGCACAGGTAAATGTGTCTGCATTACTGGGTGCAGCAGGATTCAGTCTGGACTATTCTGGACCGGTTACCTGTCTTAGTGCTTTGTCATATCCTCACCCCCCCTAAGCATTTGGCATAGCTTGTGGAATTTCAGGCATATCATGGTGATTAGCTAAATACTGCCTACCGTGACTTTCACATCCCTACTAAATGAGTTATCAGGCATCAAACCTGGGAACCTGAACACACAAATTTAATGTTACCAGCTGAAAATTGGTCTAGTTTGTCAAAGTGGGAGTTCAAGGTACCACTTAAAACTACAGCTAAACTTGCACTTTTAAAAGCGTGCTCTGCTCAGCAACAGGCAAAATCTACTTATTTTTTATTAAAAGTTTTAAAATAAGAAAATTTCCCAAAGGAGTTAATTTGCAGTCATCTTATTGCCCATTGTCCAGTCAATCAACATCCACTGTTCCAGACTACTACTCCCTTTTTCAAAGCCCTACTTTCATGAATTTCAGCCATACACCTGACCTTACTGACTGCAACAGCAGCTGGGAGGAACTAGCCAGGCATATAAATTTAGAGTGGGGTTTCCCAAACTTGGGTCTCCAGCAAACTTGGGTCTCCAGCTGTTTATGGATTTACAACTCCCATCACCCCTAGCTAGCAAGACCAGTGTTCAGCGCTGATGGGAACTGTAGTCTCAAAAAACAGCTGGAGACCCAAGTCTGGGAAACACTGATTTAGAGCAACTTAGCAAAAGGAGCTAGCTCCACAAGCTGCAGGGAGCACCAGCGGACAAGTGTCAAAGCAAGTTAAACAGCCAGGCAAGTTCGGCAACAGGGCCTGATCTAAAGAAAACCTGCCCTGAGAGAACTTCTCCAGAGCTGGAGTGATCCTAGTAGTGGGCAATTTGACAACTGGGTGTGTGATCGGTGTGTAGGCCGTAGGATTTATTGCTTGTCTGATGTGAAGGTTGTGGATATCACCTGTCACCTAGATAGCATAGCATAGTAGACAGTAGTAGTAGATAGTGATGCAGAGGTTGCGGTGCACATTGGCACAAATGGCATGGGGAAATGTAGTTGTGAGGTCCCAGAAGCAAAATTAGGGTTGTTTGGCAGCACTCTGAATGCCAGCAGCTCCAAGGTAGTTTTCTCTGCAATGCTGCTGGTTCCGTGCGAAAGGCCAGCTAGACAGGCACAGCTTTGTAGTCAAAATGCATGTGGTCTCAATGTGTGTAAACAAGTATGAAGTGATGCATGTCAAGGCAAAAATAAAATAAAATTCTTAATTTCACATGCATGTTCATGAGGTCTGAACTGGTGGAACTGACTGTCTAGGAAGGTGACCTTGGAGTCACAGTAGATTGATAAAGATGTCAATCCAGCATTTTCTTCTTCATTTTGAGGCAAAAAAAGTCAGTTGTTAACAGAGAAATAGCAAAAAGTTGCTTCATTGGAAAGATATGCTGGCACCCTTTGATGTTATGGTAGTGCTGTGTGAGTTGCTTTTCTAGGAATTCACACACACACAGCTGTTGACCTTGAAAGGCCAGTGGCCATTTGGTAGAGCCATTTGCAATGGAATGGGTCCTTATCATAAATATTATGCCTGGCTAGTATGGGAGGTGATGATTTCAAGGTGAAGATCTGTGTGACTGGCCTTGTTTACATAGTTGTGGGCCTTTAAAAGTTACACCACCCTGTGGGATGAATCCATTGACTGTGGGTTCCACAATGCTACTGTAATACTTAAAATCTTCCATTTCGTTGTTCTGTTGTGTCTGAACTTTTATAAGCAATATTCATGAGGCAAGCCTTTTTATTATGCCACCGTGGGAAGTGAGGCTATATACCCATGCAGGAAGGCCTAGTGCCCTTTTCTATAGTACTAACTTCATGGGAACCAGTTCAGCTTCTGATGAAAGTGCCCAGGCTTCCTGCCAATTTCCGTTGCAAATGTGTGGGGAACTAAACAGGGGCAGAGTGCGTAGGATAGCTGCTGTTGCTTTTCCCAAGTCTTAGTGAAAGAGTGAGCCATTTGTTCCTACTAACCCATCTGTGGAAAATAGCCTATCAACATGTATTAATATTGCTTTTTTGCTTTCCAGATCCAGTATGGCTTTCTTCAGCATGATCTTGGGCATGTTTCCGTCTTTCAGAAGCCCAAGTGGAATAGACTGGCTCACCACATTGTGGCAGGAATACTTAAAGTAAGAGCCCAGTATTGAGAGTGGGGTTTCTCCTGCTTAGAACTCATAGAGGCTAAGCAGGAATAGAATCAAACTTCCTGATAAATTCTAGTTCAATAACTTCACTCTTGATACTCTCGTCGAATACTGTGTTAAATGACTGTGACTCTCAGGTCAACATCAGAGTATAGCTGTCAACGTTTCCCTTTTTTAAGAGAAATTCCCTTATTCCAAAAAGGATTCCTTGCAAGAAAAGGGAAAAGTTGACAGCTATGCATCAGAGTGCCCTAGGAGGCTGAAGTTGTCATTCTCTGTTTTCTCATCGTTGTCATTTTGGACAATTTCCCCCCCCCCCCCAATTTGTGTGTCAGGAATAAGCACATAACGTAGTTGCTCCAACACCACCAACATGAATAATGAAAAATTGGTGGAATTTTCTTTTTATTCCGTTTGCAGGGAGGGCCCCCCAGCTGGTGGAACCATATGCATAACCAGCATCATGCCAAACCCAACTGCTTCCGCAAGGACCCTGATCTCAACATGCATCCACTCCTGTTCAGCCTGGGGAAGCCGCTCTCTGAGGAGGTGAGTAGACAGGGGAATGCACACCATGAATAACAGGCGCAGTAGGTTAAAGCCATGGTTTGGTTTCGCCTTACGTCCAAACATGGCCATGGAAGCCGATTTCATTTTGCAAACATATATCGTAGGCTTCTTACCTGAATCAAATTCTCTAAGAAAAATCTGTGCAGTGACCAAAGGTCAGCAAAGTTGTTACCTATGTTTAAACGCATTACTTCTGCTCTCCATTCGCAGCTTGGGAAGAAGAAGAAGAAATACATGCCTTACCAGCACCAGCACAAATACTTCATCCGTGAGTCTCTCTCAGTTGTTTGCTACCATCAGCAAGGCTGTGTCTCTTTGGGGATTAGGACTGAAGCTTGTTAGATCAGAGGCTGGAGGTTCTGAAAAAAAATATGCTATAGGCAAATGGATAGATAGAAGAAATGTTATCTTTACTAGTGTTACACAAACCCCAATCTCTGAGCAGTGAGAGACTTCAGGCTCCCAGCTTAGGGTTTGTTTCTGCAGAATGAAGATCCCTGGAGTTGAGTAGCATTTCCCCACACATTTATACAGGCTGAGCATAAGAAAGAAATTTAACAGCATCAAAACTCCAGCAGTAGATTAGAAGGGGGGACACCAATTCCACAAAGCAAGTCGAGCTGCTCGGTCTCTTTTCAGCTTCAGTTTCAAAACTCCTGAGGCTTTTGTTTTGGTTCTCTTTCTCAGATACACACTTTCCTGACTTCACCTCCAGCCAGGGCAGGAGGGATGAAAGTCAAATACCCTTGAGCTCCTGTGGCAACAAATCACCTGCTATAGGCCAGCTCTTTAATTATGCCAAGCTTGACCATTTTCATTTTAAAAAAATAAAAAATTGTCCATTTCTACAAATGCAAATCAAACAGCTATAGAGTCACAGGGCTGCAAGGGCTCTTGAACGGACACCCCCTCCAACTTAAATTTAGCTCAGTATGATTGCTCCAGAATTACCTGAGAGATGAGAAATACCCAGAAATACTTACGGGCTTGGAAAGCTTGGTTATTACAACTGAAGGAAAATACTCCTCTTTGTTTTATGTTTGCTTTCCTTTTTCTCCATAGTCTTAGCCCCGATGACTTTCGTTGTATTTGTGCAGCTGATTATAATACGCTTCGCAATTCAGAGGAAAAAATGGATGGTGAGTCATCTGTGAACTTGTAACTGCACTGTTTCCCCTATGGATAATAACGTAATGGTGGAATGCAGATGTCCTGTGTCCGCGCTGCCTGCAGCTAGCCATCAGAGTTGCATTAGAGAAATCATTGTTTTATTCCTGTGTCACATGAAGGATGAGTTTACTTTAGTGAATAAGCAGAGTAAACAAATCCACTTGGCCTGTGTATGTTGGAGCCAATGCCAGTTTGGGGAGGGCGGAATAGATCTACAGTAATCAAGAAGACCAATGTCCATGAGATTTTCATTTGTTCATTCCTTTGATTTGTTATTTGTACTGCCTTTCATAATACAGTGGTACCCCGCAAGACGAATGCCTCGCAAGACGGAAAACTCGCAAGAAGAAAGAGTTTTCCGTTTTTCGAGGTGCTTCGCCAGACGAATTTCCCTATGGGCTTGCTTCGCAAGAAGAAAGCCCATAGGGCAATCTCCGGGGACCTCTTTTAAAATGCTGGCGGTCGGGAGCAAAGACTTTCGCCCACCGCCGGCCTTCAGAAGAGGTCCTGGACCTCTTCTGAAGGCCGGCGGGGGGCAAAAGTCTTTGCTCCCCCCCCCGCCTGCCTTCCCGGGACAGTGGAGACTTCTCCGCTGTCCCGGGGCGATCTTAAAATGCTGGCGGGTGGCAGCAAAGCCCTCCTGTCCCCGGAGCTTGCGGGGCGGGAGGTGGGGAGAAGGGCTTTTCTTCCTACCGCCAGCCTTCAGAACAGCCTTCTGAAGGCTGGCGGTGGGAAGAAAAGGCCTTGTCGTCCCCCCCCCCCAGCCTTCAGAAGAGGTCGGGGGACAGACTGTCCCCGGACCTGGTCTGAAGGCGGTTTCCATAGGAACGCATTGATTGATTTTCAATGCATTCCTATGGGAAACCGTGCTTCGCAAGACAAAAAACTCGCAAGAAGAAAAAACTCGCGGAACGAATTAATTTCGTCTTGCGAGGTACCACTGTATCCACGCCGGTGCAGAAACATATGTCCCATCTGCACTGATACTGATCCCCTTCCATACCATGGAGGCAGTTCTTCTTAACATGATACAGTTCCCAGGGCGTTTCCATACATGCAAACATTGCTGTGAGTCACATGGCATCATGGCCTTTGAAGCCATCATAATTGCACCATCCAAAGGCAGCGGTTTTCAATCTTTTTTATTGCCTTAACCCAGTTTTCTTTGGCAGGAGTTTGCTTGCATTGTGTTCTACAACATCCGCGTTTGTCTCATGTTTGTTCCTTTAATGGGATTTAAGACCTTCATGGCATTCTACTGGCTGGCCAGGTAAATAATCTGTATGCAAAACGCTCATGGATGGGGTGGGCGGGGGCGGCAGTGCATGTACAAAGTGCTGTATTTGCATCTCAAATTATCCCACCAGCGTGAACAGATCCGTCATGCAGATGATCTCCCCCGGCCTGGCCTAGCGAAGCAGTCCAAGAAAGTGTCCATCAGTCCCAAGAGAGACTGTTCCTCTGCCCCCTACTCTGCATTCAGATAGTGGAAAAGTAAAATACAGAGATGAGTGGAATTCAGCACCATGCAGTTACAGACATTTTGTCTGCACAAAGTACATCAGTTTGTGAGATGGAACAATCCCCCTCCCCTCCCCCCACATGCTGTTCTGGGCCTACCTCTGGACCCCCTCCCCCCAGCTAATGTTGGGGGGGGCATAAGTGGAGGGGGGAAGCCCTGCTGTGCAAGCAGAAGTCCTTGCACAAATTTGTTACATTTGTTAAGAGATCTCACACTATATGTTTCTAGCATTATATTTATCTCCTGGTGTTGTTGTTTTAAATGGAAACTTCACTATCCATGCAATGTTCTTCTGTGGCAAAAAGGTTCATTCGCTGACATAAGAGGCTGCCTAAGTATTAATAGACTCCTCTGGAGTTAGCAGTGCCAATTCGATGAAATACAAACAATAACAGACATCTCCAAGGCAAAGATCCCGTAGTTTCCCAGGTCTCCCAGGCTGTTTGTGACAAATCCCAGAGATATCTGCACTGGAAAATTCCCATAAGTAAGTCTGGCTGGGCCTAATGAAGGCCCATGGAGCATTTGCTCCTCTTATTCCCTTACTCTCATCACTACTACAGGAGCAGAAAGGGAATAGGGCCTTGTAAGCGGAAGGAGGGTGTAGAAAAAACTTGCTTTGAAAGAATTAGCCCTTTTCATTCTGTATGAGGTGGTATTGGCCAATCTCTGACAGAATGGTGATTATTGTTGTTGTTCTTGTGTTGATCTACCCAGGTTCCTAGAAAGCACTTGGTTTCTCTGGGTCTCACAGATGAACCACATTCCCATGACTATCGATTATGATAAGAATTTGGACTGGGTGTCTGCTCAGGTGAGTTAATATGTACTTCTTCCTCCCAGAGACAATGACTTTCTTTCATCTGATAGGTTCAGCCATCCATTTGCGCTTTCAAGTGCATGGCCTCCTTAGAAAGGGCAAGGTTACATTTCCGTCGAAGAGAGAGTTGTTCAAATGGCCCAGTTGCCATGGTCACATTTTGGTGGGGTTGGTTCTGGAGGCAGCTGTTCCCCTTTGCCGGGCCATTTAATGGTCTGTCTCCTTTCTCGTTCTCACTTAGCTCGCAGCGACGTGCGATGTGGATCAATCCCTGTTCAATGACTGGTACACGGGGCACTTGAACTTCCAGATTGAGCATCAGTGAGTATGTGGCATATGGAAGGGAGACGCTGGCACAGTGTGAATGTGTCTGGAAAAGGCCTTCATGTAAATGACAGCCCATACTCATATTGGGTGGGAAAGGGTTAGGGAACTTCAACAGAGGTGGGCTGGCTTTGGCTAACTGAAGGCTCTGCCACTGGTTTATTGTTTATATTTCCATCCCACCTTTCAATCCAGGAGCTCATGGTGGTGAGGTAGGTTAGGCTGAGAGCCTGAGACTGACTCAGCGAGGTGCATGGCTGAGTGGGGATTTGAACCCGGGTATCCAAAGTCCTAGTGCGGCATTTTAACTTCTACACCACACTGGTTCCCCATGTTTCTTGCTCTCTTTCCACAGCCTTTTCCCAACGATGCCTCGCCACAATTATTGGAAGGTTGCTCCTCTGGTGAAATCCCTCTGTGCTAAGCATGGCATTAAGTACCAATGCAAGCCCCTGCTCACGGCTTTTGCAGATATATTGCAGTAAGTTCAATTAATGGCTTTTCCCCACTTGCCTTGTACCCCCCCCCATCCTCCAGCCCTAGCAGCCTTTTCGAAACCCTGACTTTAGGAACAACAGAACCAGCTGGGAAGAGAGAAGTTGTGTAAATTGCTTTTAAGTTGTGTAAACTGATTCTCAATTTGTGTTGTGCTGTTATACGCACTATGGTCTGCTGTTATTTTTATTGATTATAGTTTAGATACCATATTTTTCCGTGTGTAAGACTAGGTTTTTTTTACCAAAAAATTAGGCTTGAAATTGGGGCTCGTCTTATACACGGGTAGTGCTGAGGGATGTTTTCTTAATTTGGAATTCACAAAAATAGGGGGCGTCTTATACATGGGTACATAAGGAATATATATTTCTTATAGACGAAAAAATATGGTATTGTTTATTGTAATTGCTGAGAGTGAATTTCTGTTCAATAATTACCGTATTTTTCACCCTATAGGACGCACTTTTCCCCCTCCAAAAAGGAAGGGGAAATGTGTGTGCGTCCTTGGCAAATGCAGGCTTTCGCTTAGCTCTGAAGCGAGGGGGTTGGTGTGCCCCTCTCGTCTCCAGGCTTCAGGAAATCTGTGCAAGCGCGGGAGCCCTCCCCCGGCTGCCAGAGCCGCCTCTCATCCGAAGCCCCGGTGGCATGGGAGTCGATCAGACTTTGGTATTTGGCTTACAGTTGCTTAAGCTGCTTTATGTTTTTATATACGACGGTGCGTCTACCTTTTGCTATATGGATCAGATTTGTTACTATAAGGTTATGTGTGCACCTGTCTTTGTTGCTTCTTCGCACCGCCTTTTGTTTCTCTACACTGCCTTGTGTATAGAATCATAGAGTTGTAGGGTTGGAAGGCACCCCAAGGCCATCCAGTCCAACCCCCTTGCAATGCAGGAATCTCAGCTACGGTAATACAGAAAGGCAGTGTGCAAATTAAAAGTGAAATTAACAGCGCAAGGAAGAGAGACAAGCACTAAGCTGAAACTAAGCTGAGGATTACTGAGAGCCTTTTTCTCTTTTCCTCTGCAGCACGCTGAAGGAGTCTGGGGAACACTGGCTGGATGCTTATATCCACGCCTAAGGAGAGAGAGGACTTTGGGGACGAATCGCCTCGGGATGAACTGTGATCTCCTGTTCTTCCTCTTCCCTGGCGCACACACCTTGAGCTGCTGATCTCTGAAGCTTTAGGAATTTGAGGTGGGGCTGGAGCTGAACTTGAGTGAGAGAGAGAGAGAGAAGGGTGGCTTCTCTGCTGTCTTGCCCCTTTCTGTTTGTGGGGGAATGAAAAATGAAAAAGAGCCTTCGTTCTACTTTGAGACCTTATGAAGAGATAGGGAAAGGGAAACGGTGCTTTGCTTCCTCTGTATTTCCACCTGCAACAACAGTTTCAAAGGTATATTAGGACAAGCAGCCTCCCAGCCATTCTGAGTCCTTACACCCTGATCCTTTCCTTTAGTAGACTTTGCACAGTCCTTTAAATGTCTCAGGCTCCTGCCAGATTTGAACATCCAGATTGAATCTTCTTGGTTCCACTGAATGAACTCCACAGATTGCTCAAACAAAAGCATGGTTTGCATTTACTGAGTTGACCTAGAGCCAGCCCAACGTTCAGGCAGGGTGAGGCAGTAGCACCAGGTAAAGGTAAAGGGACCCCTAACTGTTAGGCCCAGTCGCAAACGACTCTGGGGTTGCAGCGCTCATCTCGCCTGGTAGGCTTTCCAGCTCTGAGGCCAATCTCTTCTTTCCCCTGCCCTCCCTTTCCAGTTTTTCCTCCTCAATGGAGAAATCCAGGATTGTGCCATAGCTTTTGTTGATCTGGAGCAGCACCCTGCTCCTTTGAAACAAAGACACGAAGCACTACAGACAGCTGCTGTTTTGGGGAGACAGTGTAAACCCAGAGGTTTTGCCTCCAAATAATGGGACAAATTACACAATGACACAACTCATGGCACCAATGAAACGCTTTCTTATTTTGGGGGTGGCCACATTTAGCTTCCAAACTGATAAGCACTCAGTCATTCAAGTTTCATAATAAAGGGAACAATGATTAAGCAAGATCCAATTTTCTGTGGTTATCAGAAATCTTTTCATTAAGTCCTAAGCAGGCTTCTTGAGCAAGCAAAACCATTTTCCATTTCTCCCAAACTGAAGTTCTTGCTTCTCATGGTAATATAGTTCAGCTTAGCATATGAAGTTGTCTGTTCATGAAGATAATTGGATGAGACCCTATTCTGGGTGGACTTGCCTTCAGAGGTTAGATGGTGGCAACAACCAGGCAGAGGAAGGCCTTCTCCATGAGGCAACCCTGATGAAAACTCCCTCCTGTACTCTTATTTAAAACAAAAAAACCTTTCAGGTGCAAAATTTTTAAAATGTATACTTTTGGCAACCAATGACACCATCTCTGTTGCTCTTTTAATGTCGCTGCTATTGTCTTATTGTATTATATTATTAATTTATGTAATTTTGTTGTAAATTGTCATCATGAAGTCCTTCTATGGTAGAAGAGTTGTATGTATATCAATAAATAAATAAATAAATAAGTAGCCTGCAAACGTGAATGTATGCTGTTTTGAAATTGATGGAAGAACCAACTTCAAGTTGGGCCTGGTGTGAAATGACTGGGGAGACATACACATCCAGCAACAGATGTTTGATGTGACTGAGTACCATAGCTGCTTTTGTGAAAGATTTTGAAAGTAGATAATGAGTGCAAAATTTAACACATCTTTCTACAAAAAGAAATCATAGGAATTCAAACTGTGGTGTGAAAACCTACTTTTTTTATATTCTAGGGGTACGTAGGATAATTCATTCATTCCTTGATTGCATGCTGTTGAGCTCATAAAGTCTTGGGGCCAGCTGCAACCACCAGCCATTCTGTGCTGTGTGAAGCAGCACAATTATTTTGTTTGTCCTGAGGTTTCCTGTAGTGATCAGGTGGGATTGCTATGAGGAATTATAACAAACATAACAAAACAAAAAAGAGAGAAAATAACAGAACACCTCTCATACAGCTCCCAAGTTAAAACCTCACATACAGCTCCAGAACACCTCACATACAGCTCCCAAGTTAAAACAGTACAACGCATCATCAGAGATCTACAACCTCTCCTGGACAATGACAGTTCTCTTTCTCAAGCTCTGGGAGGAAGACCTTTCATTGCCTACAGACAGCCACCCAATCTTAAACAACTCCTAACCCACAATAATACTACAACCAGACTTAACACGGACACTGGCACCAGAGCCTGCAATAAACCCAGATGCCAACTTTGCTGCCACATACACCCAGACAACACCATTACTGGCCCCAACAACATCACACATACTATCTCGGGACTATTTAATTGCTCATCGTCTAACATTGTATATGCCATCAAATGCCAACAGTGTCCTTCAGCTCTCTATATTGGACAAACAGGCCAAACCTTACGCCAAAGAATAAACGGACATAAATCTGACATCAAGAATCACAAGACAGAGAAACCAGTAGGAGAACACTTCAATCTCCCAGGACATTCTATACAAGATCTCAAAGTAGCTGTTTTACTACAAAGGAATTTCAGAAATAGACTGGAAAGAGAAGCTGCTGAATTGCAACTTATTACCAAACTTAAAACCATGGAGAGACCTGGTCTGAACAAGGACATTGGATTCTTATCTCATTATACATGACAAAGCCATTTTTCACCTTCTCACCCCTTGCTTTTCCCTGTAAGACCTATTGCAGTCGTTAAGAGTCGTCAACAGGCTCATCACAGCTATCTGCCAATCACCCATTCCCACCACCCTTCTGAGTAATACCCCTCCCCACCTTCTCACTATATAGAAGGATCTGGCAACTTCTGTTTCAGTGTATCTGAAGAAGTGTGCATGCACACGAAAGCTCATACCAAGAACTAACTTAGTTGGTCTTTAAGGTGCTACTGGAAGGATTTTTTTTGTTTTGACTATGGCAGACCAACACGGCTACCTATCTGTAACTGGAACAAATATAGAGTAAGCCATCTGTGTCAGCAATGAAAGCATTGCGTTGGCTGGGTTTAAACTATTTTGATATGATTCTTGATCAAGCCACACCTCTGCATCCCTGTTCCATTTCTCTTTCTTGACAAGTAACATACCGCAGATAGGCATCTGAGTCATCTTCTTTGAAGTAGCCTTTCCAATATGTTAATCTCAGGATGTTATTTTAGTGCCTGGAAATAGTTTCCCAGGAAGGTGATAAAGATGCCTATCTCCTTGCCATCCTTCCATCCTCTCCTATTTACTCCTGTTTGTGATCTCTGGAGTTTCTCTAGTCCTCTTTTATTTACTCTCAGATTATGTATGCATACTCAGAGTAGTCTTTGTAGTTAAAAGAATTTCTTTTGATCTGATTTTGTCCCCACGTGGGGTTTGTTGAAATGCTCAGAAGAAATCTGATTGCTTCTTACGAACACTCTGTAAAAAGTTCTTTTGTGAATAAAACGACCTGGGCCAGGGGCTGGAGGCACAGAGAGACACACAGAGAGATTATTATACGCACCCTTCCCAGAGTCTTGCTGGTTCAAGCCTCTGTGTGTATTCTTATTAATCAGAGTTCAATCCTTCCTTTACTTTGAGAACGCCTCAGTTTCCAACATTCTGCTTCATTGAATGATTCTAGTATTATGAGAGAGGGAGAGAATTGTCTCCCTATCCACCTTCTCAGCATAATCCAGTAAGCCTTTAACATGCCTTTTTTCCTAAACTACCCCATGTTGTAACATTTCCTCATGGAGTTGTTCTTGGGGTGGCTCTAAACTCATCTTTTTAACGTTAGGAAAGAGTTAAGGAAGGGTTGTGGTAACGCAGAAGGACAAAGGACGCATTGCTTTTAATGTTCTTAATCTGTTATTAAGAGCAACCAGCAGCGTTTTGATGAAAATAAACCAACAACGAGGTAAGAAAAGCAATCTAAATTACAAGTACGCCCTGTGATGTTTTAGAACGATATATCTAATATCATTCTAATAATGTTAAACAGGTCAGGGTCAATTCAGCCTTGATCATGGCATTATGATTATCGGCAGTTTTATTCTCAGTCCTTTTGACCCTAACATGAATTTTGCTTTTTCCATGGCTGTTGCATAGTGGGTCGACTAAAATAGCTCAAACACTTCATTTTCTTTTTGGATAGCTTGCAAAATAATAAAAAAAACCCTCAACTTTTCTGTCTGGATTTTCATCTTTTGAAATTTGGCAGCCGTAGTCAACTAACATCACGGAGTGTAAGGGACGAAGGGGATTAATTTTGTTGTTTCTGCCGCTAAACAGTTAGGAATCAATTCTACTCCCTGATGTACTTCAAACTACCCAGATATCTAGCAGTAAACCTACTTTCTGCCCACACTTTAGCTAAAGTGCTGAAAGCTAAATATTGTGAAATAAATGTAACGAGATGTTACTCGTGAGAACCTTTTGATACTAAGCTGTGAACATTTCAGCTGAAAAACGATAAAAATAAAGAAGACCGCTGCTACCTCCCACAGCAGTCACCCAGACTTTTCCTGAGTGTTCCCCAAACCCCAAGAAAGGCTCTTCAGGGATAAAGTATTCTAAAGTGAGAGGGTGCTGTTAGAAACCCCCACTGCACAAGTAGCCTTGCCCTCACACATAGGTTTTGAGTGCAACCCTATATATTAAACTTGGCTCTCCCAACCTGGTGCCTCCCTCAAGGAGTTCTGGACTACAACAGCCCCAACCAATGGAAAGGAGGCTTGCCACATGTGACTTTGTGAACTACTTGGCTCATTTTCCTGGCAGTACCAAAACTTCCTATGCAATGCTGTCCATTTCAATAGAAGAATGTGATTACTTCACTGTTTCTGATCTCAGTGCCAAGGATTTTGCAAAAGGGATAAGTTACACCCTTCCTATGATTATTATTTTTTAACCGGGAGATGCCAGGGGAGCATGCAAATGATGTGTTCAGCTTCTGAGCCAAAGCACTCTCCCGGGGGCATTTGGGGAAATAACCCTGCCACTGAGGTACTAAGTCAGGGCAGGGGCCAGCAACCTTTTTCAGCTGTGGGCCGGTCCACCGTCCCTCAGACCATGTGGTGGGCCGGACTATATTTGGGGAGGGGGATGAATGAATTCCTATGCCCCACAAATAGCCCAGAGATGCATGAGGCGTTCACAAAGTAAAGGAAGGATTGAACTCTGATTAATAAGAATACACACAGAGACTTG